TTAGGAAAACAGAATAATTGTTTAAGAAACTTTGTAAGAAAAATAAACCGTATCTTCATCTTAGCTCTTTCACAAGGTTTGTATTCCCTAATGCTATATAAGCAAGAGAGTCTGGAAGAAACCCAAAAGCCATCAGCTCAGGGAATGCTAGGACCTCCAAAAATTCCATGGGCTGGTGGTCAGACGCAAACAGAGAGACTAAGAAGAGCTAGCCATGCTGGAATCCATTTCCCATCCCTGTTCTATGCTTCAGCAGGTATCAGTCACCAGCTTCCTTAAAACTCTTTCTATATGACACAGCGTAGCTGCAAATTCAAGGCAGACTGTATGAAGTCAAACTGGAACTTCATTTGCACCTGTTAGCGTGAAAATGCTTGAGCCTCCCAGCCCTAATTATTTATATTATTGCTACTGATTTTAAGGGAAAATATGTCACAAATGTTTTTCTCATGTTATTCTAGCTTGCTAATTTTTACTTTTCAAAGGTTCTTCTGCTACTACTGTTTTATCTTTACAATTTCCTACACACACCAAAAAAAAAGTAATTCTGATTTAATCAGAAAACAAAAGAACTATACTAGAGCACTGAACAAAAGATCTAATCTTTGAAGCGTCCTTTCCAAGTGAGTGTAAATAAACTGTAGTAAAATGAAAAGGCTTGTAATTTGGTATTTGGAATATTCTTCATAAACACCAATTTTCTGTAACATTCTTGCATATCTGATACCCCCTCATGCATAATGCAAAAAATCCATTTCATTTTCATCTATTGATAGTGAATTTAATTTACTATTGCAGCTCTTTACCCAGATTATGTTATTAATTCTGCAATCAGGCTCTTTAGAATGCTTTTATTTCTTCCTAGAGTTTTCACAATTCCACATTGATTTTTTCCACCCTAACATACCTTTCAAAACAAAGGATCATTTTTCCGAGCTTTTTTTTAAAAAAGTAAACAAGGCCTCAAAGGAAATGAGCACCCTTCATAAGCTGTAACTTTCAACAGGAAAAAAAAAAAAAATCTACATGCATCACTTCAACCTCTGACATTTAAGCATTACAAACTACATTCATTAAGGAGACGTAAAACAGGTGCATTAAAATTTCCACATTAACAATCATCTTTGTAAATAGATCAAAATCTCTTCATTAATAAAACATTATCTACTTCTGCCTGACACTAAAGTTAGAGGGCAGGGATGCTAAATGCTCCAATGTTAGTGTTCTGTTTACATCCATACCAACTGCCTCCACTATTTTGCAGAATTCAGTCATCTTTTTAAAGTATATCAAACGCAAAGCAACTCTTATTTTTCCAACAGAGAAAAAGTCAGTAACAGCTGACTCAATTCAACAGCTCAACTCAATTCCAAATCACCAGTTACTCTTCAAAACAACAAAATCAAAACACAGAAGTGTCAGCTATGTTATTATTTTGCATCAGTTTTTTAAAAGTCCTCTAGAACAAAGTTCAATTAAAGAATACTAATTTGTTCATATTAGGGAAAAAATGATTAATCAACTACAGAAGTTAAATCTTGTCTATCATTATATGTAAGACTCCATTTTCAGAAATCATATAAAGGAGAAATGCCAATTCAGGTATTTATTACTGTAATACTCAAATACTAAAAAAAACTTCTTTCTTGTGCATTAATACAGCTAATATAAAATGCTAATTTCTTTACTCATCTAAAGCACTTCACCTTTATAATAGAGTGTTCTTCCACCACCATGATAAACATAATATAAAGAATATCTAAAAAGCGGCACTTGTCCTCTCTACTTCACTCCAGAGCCAGCGAACAAAGCAGTGAAGAAGAAAGAAGGTACATAATGGATTTAAAGTAAATGGCCCATTCTTTACTAAGCGGCCTCTTATTTTTACTCATTCTACCTTATTTGTCATTCTAATGTCTGGAAACTTCAAACGAACAATTATTTTTACACCACCTGTCACAGTGGTTCCTTAAAGCTAGATTTTTATTTTTTTTAATAAAAAACAAAGCAATCACTGTTAATTAAAATAACCTTTCACAGAAACATTGTAAACATCTTTAAACTTGTTTTAAGCAGTTAGTGCCAAGCACGGTCCATTCCATACACCAAAACAGACAGAACATTTATATTCACTGTTGCACTTCATAACATACTTTTGTGAGACATAATGCTTCCTGCTGCACTGGAAGCCTAGTTGTCAATATATGAAACACACTGACATGTACGTATGTCCCTTGGGACTTGAAAATAAAGAATTGGCTAATTTTTCACCTACCTGGGTAAAAATCTTTGGATTTAGACAACTTGATGGTGGCCCCAGTCTCTTTCTGCAACTGAACAATTGTCTGTCCTCCCTTCCCAATTATAGATCCAGCAGCATAACTAGGTATGAGGACCTTTAGAAAATACTGGCCATCCTCTGAAAAATTGAGATATGCATGGTTAATATGGCTTATAAATTCTCATTTTTTCTCCCCAGACCCACAAATAAACAAAAGGTTACGTCTTTAAACTCCTCCACTAATTCATGCATTTACATCTAACCAGTTGCGTCATTCTACAAGACATGTTTAGACTGTGCCTTTGACATTTTAAAATATCTACATTTATTCTAAGCAAAATAAAGAACACACATAGGTTCCTTAATTCAGTAAAAGAATGAGAATAAAATTCATATTATATTACAAAGATTGCTTTTTTCCAACGGTAACCACAGCATGCAGAAATGATCAGACCCCTTAAAAAAAAAATAAAGCCCTGCACGAGAACGTGGCTACTGACAACTACAACCTTCCTTGAAAATGCTGCAAAAGAAATGACAAAACCAGAAAGGAACGAATTGTAAATTCTAATGAGCTATTTGTTTGTCATTAGCAAACACATGAGAACAGCAATTAGCTATTGCCTGTATTCTTCTTAAGTGAGCAAAACGACTACTCCGCTACCAAATAACCCACCCAAAATGTGGGGTTTTATTCCAAGCATTTCAGCCACTGCCAAGAAAACAACTCAACATGGTGCGGATGGAATCACTTGCCTAAGTAATCCTGATGTATTCCTTTAGCACTTCTTAAGAGATAATGATCTCTTTTAAGCTCATTAATTAAAGGACACTAAGAAGAATTTTTCCCAGTTGATCAAAACCCTAAGTCACTTATTTTAAATACACTTAAAAGGTGACAACATAGACAATGCCAGTCCTCTACCCACCACTAGTGTTAAAGCACACAATCGAAACAGGAAAAAATATATAGAATGAATGGAAGGGAGAAAAAAAAAAAAAAAGGATTCCCAGTCTGATTTGGAAACTGCACAATTGTCAGTACCCTCACCACACTGTTAAATCCAGTTACACTGAAGTCTGAGGACCTTTCTGTAACCGATTCTGAAGAAGTGCAAGGCAATAAGGGTACGCTGGTTTCCCAGACTTGGGCTATCCTCAGTAATTAAGGCAAGATCCCATTGCCATGGATATTAAAATATCATGAAACCTGCTTCATAAAGCTGTGGGGGTTTTTTTACCCCTAAGCAGAGGTAACGATCTCAGTTCACCTTACTTCTCTTCTCTGAGACTATAAGCGTCTCAAGAAGTGCCTGTGTGTGACAGTGGTGCCCACCCGTATTACCACAGCTGGGGAACCATGCATTATGTACAGTCGGAGCGCTGCTCTCAACATGGGGCAAATAAATTCACCTCTGCCACTGTGCATTGTTATGACGACTCCAGTGCAAACGGATAAAGGAGATGCTGGTCCCGTTATAACTCATCTCCTCCAGGAAGAGCAGGATGTTAACTAGAGAGTCCCCGCAGCCGAGGGGCGACTCCCCCTGCCACCAGCCAGCCCTCGCCCCCGGCTCGGCACTGCAAACACACGCCGTGTACGCGCTGACAATGGAAGTGAGGCCAAGGAGGAGGAAAACGCACGACAAGGCTGAAATTCAACTTGCGACCCCGAAGATGTGGAAGGAGGGAAGAGCGTTTACCGTCTCCCTCCAGCTGCCCTTTATTTTCGCCCATCGTTAAAGGGGCGAGGGAGATAGCTGTGCTGCGGGAGTCCCTTGTGCTCCCTCCTCGCCTCCGTAGGGTCACGGCTGTGCAGCCCCAGCGTGGATATTAAATAAAAAGACTGGTAGATGCTGAAAACCGACGCCATTTTGATGAATGATAACATTAGAGAAATGGGAATCTTTTGGAGGGGGGCGAAGGAGAGGCGGGCGGGCAGGCAGGTAGGAAAGCGAAGAGGTGGGTGGGTTGGGGGGGGGAGGGAGGTGACAGAGGATATACCCACCGCCCGTGTTGGTCCTTTTGGTGCTGCCGGCTTCAGGGGGGGCTTCAAGCGGTCTTTTCCGGGAGTCCGGCGGGTCCAGGTCTATGGGAACCCCGGTGTGGGTCCCGTTCTGCTGGATGGGAGCTGCCGCCATCATGTTTGCTGCTGCTCGGAGGAGAATAGTCTCTTCCCTTCTGTGGTGGGGGGGCAGGGAGGGAAGGGGGGAGGAGGAGGAGGAGGAGGAGGAGAAGGAGGAAGGGGGAGGAGGAGGAGGGGAGGGGGCTCGTCCCGTTCTCTTGTCCTTTTCGAAAATGTAGAGCTAAGATCGGGATTGTCGAGGATGCTGCGCGCCTTGTTTATCTGGCACCCGGGGGGAGGGAAGGGAAAGGAGGGAGGGAAGCGGGCAGGACTGGGCTGGAGGAGCAGCTGCAGTGCAGTGTCAGGAGGAGATGAGGAGAAGGGAAACAGGGGAACAAGGGGGGCGAGAGGGAAGAGAATGGGGGAGAGGAGAGGAGGAGGGGAAGGAGTGAAAAGAGTGAGACGGGAGGAGGAGAGGACAGAGTAAGTGGGAGAGGAGAGGAGGGGAGAGAGTGAGTGGGAGAGGAGGGGAGAGAGAACGAGTGAGACTGAATCGGCGGGAAGGGAGGGAGGGAGGGAAGGAAGGAGGGAGGGTGAGAAGGAGGGAGCGAGCGGTGTAAATGGTGGGCGAGGGAGAGAGTGGGAGATGATTCACGCTGTTTCTGAGCCCCCTTCCGCCCCTGCCCGCCCTAGTGCCGCGCCTGACGCTGCGGCTCAGCTGCCCGCCGCTCCCTCACTGTCGGGCACGGGGGTGGAGAGGGGGATCGCTGCCGCTGTGGTGCGGCGCTGCTCCGCTCTTGCCCCAACACCGGGGGCGGCTGGCTGGCCAGGGGTTGGGGTCACCACCCTCTGCTGCACCGCAGAAACCCGAAAGGCAGGAGAGGTTAGAACCGTGGGAGGGGGTGGAAGGACGGGGGTGTCCGAGGGCAGGCGGGTGGGGAAGGGGGGGCGATAGAGGGGGGTGTATATGTATGTGTGTGTGCGATAAAAAGAAGGGCGGGGCTTTCTGTGAAGACAGGCGGGAGATCCGACCAATGGGAACAAAAGAGAGCGAGGCTGGGATTGGAGCTCATCGCCAATTCCAGGACGCGAGTGGAGGAGCCGCTGTATGCTTTAACCTCTGCGGCGGGGGCGGCGGCGGGGCGGGTGTGTGTGGGGGCTGGCTCCTGCCCTGGGAGGGTCCCCGCCGTGATGCGGCGTCACCTGGGTTACACGCTGCGCCTCGCAGGCCCGCGGCTGCGTGGGAGGACGGCCGAGATTGCTCGTGGAGGCGGTGGGATAGCGGTGACACGTCCTCGCCGGGGCTGGCTGCACCACTTGCGCGACGCGACACGGCCGGTGTGGCTGCAGCCCTCCGTCCATCCGTTCGCCCGTCCATCCCCGCCGGCCGCCGCGGGGGACGGGCGGGGGACAGCGCTGCCGCTCCGCGCCGGGAGCCTCCGACGCGCCGGGCTGCATCGCGCAGGCTTGTAGAGGAAATAATAAAGATATTATTGTTATGCTGTGACAGCCGGTCTAGCTGGAGCTGTGCGACACAGAGCCGCGTTTCTTACCTAAGTATTTCGTAGAGAAATCAAAGATGTTTTGCTGCGGTGAAGGTTATTTCTGCGTACAAATCTGAAATTATTCAGGTGGAAGCTTAAAACGTTTTAAGATGTGGGGGAAGGGGGAGGCAGGGCTCGGGGGATTGTCTGCGCACCAGAAAAGCATGCTATTTATTGACTCGTTGAATTGCCTTTGAAGAAATTTTTCAAACCGCTGTAACCGTGGAGGCAGTGGTCAGCACTGGAGCATCAACTCTGTACAAAATTTAGGCACATGTGTTTATTGCGTTACACCACGCTCTGTGCTAAATTCATATTGCTACGTGTGTGTGCAGCGTGGCTGCTGACTCGATTCCTCCTAATGCGTGAGCTGAAAACCTGGCTGTTTGTGGACGAAATCCAATTTCCATTCTGAGCTCCCTGGGAGATAGCCTTAGTTTTAGTAATCACTTACCATTAATACTGCCCCAAACAATTTTTAGTACTTAAAATGCAGATTTCGTGTAAAATATATCGTATAGCTCATCACCTCTGCTTAAAAATTACAAGACAGGTATGTAATTCATTATAGGATATTAAACTGTGCACATGTTAACATCTTAACAGGCTCCTGCCCAAATGCATTCACAAATTAAGAACTCAATCAAGCACGGTACATGGGAAACTTTCAATGAATTCTTTGGGAATTGTGTCCCAGGAATGTGATATCCAGCTTCCTCACCAGCAGATGAAATAGATGCAGCTGATTCAGTAACAATTTGATAACATATATGGTCAGAAAAATGATTGTATAAATAGGGAACCTTCTTACTCATCAGGTACCCTTTGTATCTAAGATACTCTGACTCATAATTGCTTAGTTTACTGACTGAAATAAAATTTTAGGCTTCTGTTACCTTGACAGTTGCTGACACAATTACGGTACAGCAAACTGGGGACTGGTTCTAGCTCTTGCATTTTCTTTACTAAGTTCCAGGTGAAAAATTTTATTAGTTTTTGAGTCAGAAAGAGCACCGCACGACTTGTAAATCTCAGGTCCAGTTTGTAGGGTCATCAGTCCTAAAAGGCCTCTTTTTATTTGTGAACTAAGCAAATGACTTACAGAAAATTTTGAAGGCAAAAATAAAAACCACGATGTTTGAATTAAGCCGTCTTGAGTCAATTTCCGCAGTGGAACTGGATAAATTATAACACTGCTCTCTTTATGTCACTGAATATGTCCCATTCATTTGAAGCAACATTGAATCAAATAATTCTCTGATTTTTAGACCACATCTGTTTTACTGTGCCCCCTGCACCAATTTTAATTATGTGACAGATCTGATTGGATTCAGCACCTGCAAGTCCTCCCTTTGGGATCTCCAATTAGCTTATAAAACGTTTACTTGATTGCATTCTTCAAACAAAAGTATTGTTTCATGCTAACAGCAGGAATATTAAAGTGTAGAATGAAAAAGGTTTTAACATGATAAGCAGCGTGTATGTTGTTTGTGTATCTAGCTTCCATAAGCTTAGAGGAAAAAATAGTAATCCTGAAACCTAATTTCCTCAGACTCAGCAGATGTCTGTCCTGCCTTAGCCTGTTTCTTTACTAACAGCTGTTTCACAAGTGCCTCCCCTAGTCTCTACAGAATGCCTTTTGTTTAATATTTCCCCTCTACTTTATCTCCCATCCCACTTAGACAAGATTTTTTAAGTTTTTTGGTACTTTATGTAGGTATTTTGTAGTTTAATAGACAGGCTCATCTTTGAAGAAGTTTGCTAAAACTATATAACTAGCCTCTCAGCTAGCGTCTCAGTAACAGTTCTACTTAACTAGGCAAATAGCTGCATGTAACAAACATTTCAACAAATATTGATTTAATATTAAGAAAACTATTAGTTATTAGAGATATGCTTCAGAATACACTTTTTTCTCCTTATTTGACTGCTTGGAGCAGTGATACTGGAGGTCTAGGGGGGAATATCACACAAAGTGCAGCCCTCTAGTGGCAGAGGTCACGGGGAGTTTAAAGCAAACTGGGTCTTTGTTATGGGTGGGGGCAATGAAAGAAACAGCTTTTAGCAAAATGCAGGCAACTGTCCTGCATCGTTCATGGTCTGAAGCACAAGCAAAAAGAGTTGTGGAGGCCTGTAATGCAACCTTGCCCCCACTCTGTTGTAATATCTACGCAGAAAGTACCGATGGAAAATATTAAAAGGTCTGAGTTTTCCTCTATTTCCAAATCTGTAATCTGTTGTTCATCTTTTCTGTTTCCAGCCAGCAGATTGGCATACCTGACCAGATGCTTTTCAAGCAGCTGTGGGGTCTTGATTCCTTCAATCATGTCCTACCAGACGAGGTATTCTATAACTTCAGTAAGAGTATGTTCAGTGATGACATGGAGTACAAATTCAATTTAACAGCTTTATTTCTAAAATCACTCTCGATTGGTGGAGGTGTGGATGGTAGCATTCAAATTAATCTCCCCCACGGACATAAGAGTTATGCTTAGAAATAAAAGGGATTAGGAAGAAGGATAAACTAAAGCAATTAAGCATATATATTAACAAATAGAAATCTGCATAATAATTGAGGTGGAGTTCTAGTAATCTGATAAGGTCCACTTTGTGGAACAAGACCCAATCTCCTGTTTCTTATGGAGGTGATGTATAGTTCTCCTCCGGCTAACAGAATGAACACTTCAATTTTCCCCTTATATAACAAAGCCCAATAATCATTTGATAAAAATGATACCTCTTAAACATCCTGGCTAGGTAAAAGAAAACAGATTCTGTCTTTGTCCAAAATGGTGCTACTACAATTGCCAGTTTTTCATTACTGAATGATTGCTGTGATTCCTAGTAAACTTTGGCTTCACTAAAATTACAGTTAGTGACGAAATCTTTCAAGTTTTTAATTTCCATCTCGTGTTTATGAAATTTCTTTCCTCTGACAATCTATCAATTAAACTGGTATTGTCATTGAGTTAGCTGTCTAATTGTTGCTTGTTTAAATACTGCAGAATTTGTTCACCAGTAAATGTTTTAATTTTCAGTGGAACTTCTCCAAGATTCCAGCAATATTAATCTAAGGAAAATCAAATCCAGTGTTTGGGAAAAAAGCTAAACACATATTAGGCAGAAAGTGACCTGATTATCTATTTCCCCCCATTTGTATTACTTTTATTATCTATATTATATGCATTACCTAGCTGAAAGCCAAGTGTTAATAGTTGTACTCTTCACTGAAAAGAGCATAGACAACTGCTAAACCTCTTCATATTGTAGACCATTGCTGTGTAGTAGCTTTCTTTTTCCAGGAAACTGAGGATGACTATTTAAAATCAGTAATAATTTGACCACACTATTTGTCATAACATGAATATGTTGGCCAAAATTCTTTTTCTGGTGATTGAAGGCGAAAGTGTTTGTAGGAAATCAGCACCCATTTCTGCTCTCTCAGCAGAGGGATCACCTGTCTCCTTCTATTCCCACAAAGTTCATTAAAATTTACAGTACTTTTTTGACTTTTCTTCATGAATACTGAACTGAATTGATCCCAGTGCTTCATTGCTGAATCTGTAGGTCAGATTTACAAGGGGTTACCTAAGGATGTATCCAGATCTCAATGTAAAAAAACAAGTTAGCCTCAGAACAGGATAATTTTTCATCCCTCACAGGGAATCGAATGTGTGGATCTGGATATCTGAAACTCCAGTGGCTGAACACTTACCCCAAAAAGTCATCTCCATGGTGATCTTTCTGCACAGTAATCTAAAGACCTTTTCTTTCTCAGAATGAAAGAAAATGAAGACTTGATTTCAATTGCCTTCCAAAAATAGTAGTATCTTCTGTTTTCTTTGGGTCATTGCTTTTGTTTGTTTTGCTTTTTCTCCTTTTTTGGGGGGAGGATTTTTTGGAGTTTGTGTGTGTGTATGCGTGTGTGTGTATTATTTTGTTTTTACTAGAAAAATAGATATTCAAGGTTTAAAATGGGTACAGTCTAGGCGTAAATTCACTGTAATGAAACAATGTAACATCAATATAGAAGCATCTCCTTGTGTAGCTTCATCAGTTTACAGTGTTACTGATTGTGTACCTCTTGTCACTATCTTACAAAAGGACAGTTACAATTGGTAAAGCATCTCTTCTACAAATTGAATGTCACTCCAGATGCTTCTGACTGTATTCCTTTAACAGATCAGGTATTTTTCAAGGAATCAGCATACCTGTTTCCAATCACTGTTATTATAATTGCTCTAATAATATTACTATTTTATATATCATTTTGCCCACTCACCACCAAGTGTCTTCTTTGTTCGACATTTTGGAACTTTAAAATAAATTAAGTATGGAAAAAAGATACATTAACATAAAAATTAGTTTCTTTGATTCTGTTGTCAAGCCTGATTCCCTTCTTTGAATAATGTAGTCTTACAATATAGGACCTCAATCAGGATTGTTTTGGAATTTTGCTATAGTTCAGCTGACAAACAAGAGTTATTTCAGTGGAGAAGATCAGAAATCTTTCTGGAAAAGGAGTACAAGGAGAAAAAGTAAACATGTTGCACAATGGACAAAGGAAAAATAAGAAAAAGACAATAAAGACAAAGTACTGATTTTTCTGTGGTAATCATGATTTATATTAAATTACATAGCAAAATTTGAGTTGCTCTGATCATTTTGCTCACTGATAAAATGTATACTACCTGAGATCATTAAAGACAACTATATCCTAGTAAAAATATACCAGCAAACTCTCCTACTGTTAACCACCAAGGAACCTCATTTTTTCTTGTTTAATTTATAATCAATTTTCCAAATAATAAACGCTTCCAGTAAAAGTAACTTTTATAAGTATAATATTATTATAGTGGTAGAATTTTTGCTAACGGAAAAGTAAGAAAAGTAATACTATTGAAATAATAATAGTCTCTAGTAGAGATCTAGAGATCTTTAAAAATACTTTTAAAATGCTTACTATATCAAAACGCATATACCAGTAGATTACAAATTAATTTTCAGCACAGTAAGATTTTAGGAAATAGTTATTACCTTTAAGAATATCAAATCACAATGGGATGTTTAACTGATTCTTCCCTAGAGTTTAGCAAATATGTTAGGATTTGTTCTTCAAGAAATTATTTCACTTCACCAACAGAAATCGATGATTCCACTTACATTTCTACCCGCTTGAAATTTATTCCTAAAAAATACCCCTGAACTGGAAAATCTCTTAGTGGGGGAGGGTAAACAGCTAAAACTTACTGCCAGGATAAATTGGCCAGAATGATTTGGCACATATCCTGAGTTTGCCATGAAAACACGTATCTGTGTGTCAGCTGCACACAAAGGCTATCTGGCCCTAGAAAAAGCATGGGGATTAGGCATAATGCTGCCTATTTCAGACAAAGGGTATTCCTTAGTGCAGTGAGGTTAAAACAGACAGCTCATCAGCAGTACAAGTCTATCTGAATTATTTAGTTACCATTTTAAGCCAGAAGGAAATAGTGGCAGATTATTAATGACTTGTGGGTTTTATTCGTCTTGTTATTTTGTTTCAGTGAAAAGTAGCACTGGAAATGCAAAAAGGTACCAAAATATGAGATCATTTTTACTTTAATCATTTACAACATATAGACTTTTAACACTAGTTCCAAAATATTACTTATTTTTATTTACATTTCAGTAAGACTTATGAAGTTGCTATTTATGTTTGTGAGTGTTTGCATGACCAAAATGAAAGAGACAGCTCACATGCTCAGAAAATAGAAATCCATGGATCTACTGGATGAAAACTATTCTATTGATTTGGAGGGAGTTTAAGTCATTCAAAATGACAAAAATACTTCAGGAAAAAAATAGTGGAGAGAGTAAGGAAACTATATAAAAGATATTAACATAGTCTGAAACGCATTCTTGCAATAAAAGAGATTCTTGTCATAATCCAGTGACAGGCAATTTAAAATAACTTTGCATAGAAATATTTAGGGATATATAATAGGAATATGTATAAAGAATATTTAGGAACATATAATTTATCATTTTTAATAAATTATATATAAACAAATTAACAGCTGGTATATAATTTAAAATTTAGCAGTTACAAAATTGAAAACTAAGGATGCACTTTCCAATAATTAAAAATAACAAGTTAAAGTGAAAATCTTTACATAGTCATGCTTTATGTAGACAAAAAAACAGATCTAAACATGATGATATAGAAAGTTATACATTACGTACGTAAAAGAAGCCTGATTATTTTTCCTGGAAATTTTTGTGGATTTTTTTTGTTATATTTTAGCCAAGTAAGAAGACTCCTGTTTCAAAACTTTTAAATGTTTGTACTTTTCATTCTTATTTTCATTTACAGCTTTAAGCTATTTCCTCCACAGAAGAAAAAAATCGTATGTTGAAACAGTAAAAATAAAATTACTGCAGAACTGAGTCATTGCAAGTGAGATGAATATCCACAAAAAAAAATTACCAAATTACAAAAAAACCACCCAGAAACAAGATCATTGTGCATTAGAAACAATGCTTTCAGATTCATCATGGCTCACAACAAAGGTATTTATAAGTGGACCTCCTGCCTCTGTCACATGCTGTCATTGCTTTGGATTGACTGCTGTTAGATCCCATAATCCCAAACCCTAGGATCTTGTCCTACATATCTCCCCCACTTGTTAGGCATGTCAGTAACTATTTAAAATGGAAATGAACTCTAATTTCTGTATGTGTTAATAGCAAAGGGTTTTACTCTCCTAAACCCCATATTTACCAAGATATTTTGGGTTTTTGTAATAAAGGTTATAAAAAGCTGTATTCAGTCATATAGCTTGTATTTACTAGTTTAACCACTTATGTTTGGTTAATGCTTGGCATTTCTTAACTCAACAGAGCGTCATGACAATATTATGGAACATGTTCATGGATGATGAGAAGAATTGACTTGTGAGGTTATGTTGTTATGTAAATGTTATGCAGAGATTAAAACTCAAACGTTGTCCAATTAAGAAAATGTTCATTGAAACTATCATATCCCATTCCACATGAAAACTCTTTGATGCCAACAGATTAAAATTAATGTACTTCATTTGAAGGGGGTAAGAAAAAATCACCAGTATAGTTGACTTCTAGTCCTCACTTGCAGTTCCTTGTACCCGGTACAAATCTTGCATCATGTAGGATCTTTGTGAAAACCACTGCTATTTTCATATTATGATTGTTATTAATAAATATTTGCATTGTCCAACTGCTCCTTGGAACTTGGTTCCGTGATCACTTCCCTAGGAAGCCTGTTCCACTGAATGATCACCCTCTCAGTGAAGAACCTTTTCTTAATGTCTAGTCTGAGGTTCCCCTGATGGAGCTTCATTCCATTTCCTCATGTCACCAGAGAGAGCAGATCAGCACCTTCCCCTCTACTGGTCCTCTTGAGGAAGTTGAAGACTGCAAAGAGGTCTTCAAGCTCCAATAAACCAAGTGACCTTGGCTGTTTCTCCTTGCATTTCACCATCTTGGTCAACCTTTTCTGAACACACTCTAATAGTTTGATGTCCTTCTTTCATTGTGGATAATAATATAAAAGCGAAATCACTAGAGCAATTTGTACAGTGCCATGATATGATAAGGAGGTTTTTTTCTTAAAATCTTAGTGGAGCAGCTAACTCCACTTGGATAGACCCTAATCCCTAGCATAATTTCACTGACATCAGTAGAGTGTCATTAGGGAAATGGATCTTCCACTTACGGAAATGTGTTTTAAATTTATAAAAAAATTTAAATTTAGTCTAGTAAAAGTAGTTTCAACACATTCCAGTCTACTTTATTGATTTCAAGCTTACTCCTAGAACTAAAGGTGATGTGATGAATATGTGAGCCAAGTGAATCAGTAAAAAATCCCAGTTTTAATATCTGTCATCCAGCGTGGCAGATTATTTCCCAAGTTCAGACAACTAATTGGTAAACTAAGAATGCATTACACATAAGAAAGTGTGCACAACAGATGATATTCTTTTATTAGAACATTATAGTTTTAATCTAACATCATACACAATCAGTAAAGCTAAATTCTTAATGCAAAACATGCAAGAGTTAAAATGCTTAAAGTGAAAATATCTTGGCTTAGTTGCATATATTTTTCATTTTAAAGTAAATGCATTAACAGAAATAGGACTGTAAAAAACTGTACTTTAAAGTTTAGCTAAGTGTAAATAGCAATAGAATTGTATTTTCAGCATACTGTTTAATGTAAACTCTCCCTACCCCTCCCCTCAAATTATTTTATTGTGCTCTTTTAAGCATTTAACATTTTACGAAGGTGAAACATTTGGTACGACTTTTAACAATTTAAGAAAAACCACAAAAGATGATCATTCTAGAAAATGGATGTTAAGCTTTTTTCCAGTTTTTAGTGTCTAGCTGTACTACTGATAATTTAGGCAGTAACCACATGAAGTTCAGCCAAATTCAAAGACATTATTCTGTATCAATGCCTAAAAGATATTGTTCAGTTATGCAAATGCCCATTCACCTGAGTAGTCTTTATTCATATAGATTATTGTGTTCAACACAATTTTTACAAGCATTCAAAACAGTGTGCTGCAAAAAGAGTATCTTCTCTCTTGTTTTTGCAAAATTTTCTACACAGAAAAATATTCCAAAGAAAGTATCCAAAATTGATTATTATGTACAGCAATAACTGTCTGTAAAATATTTTGGTGTCTGTGTTCTTATTTCTACAGAAACGTACATTATTGTTAATCAGTATAATCTGAAATTCCATGTTTCTTGAAATACTGGTTTGTTGACCAGACCTCTTAGATCAATATAATTTTGCAAACGTATAGAAAACACTGATACCTCAAACTTTTGTATATGTCAGCTCAGGCTGAAAATATTGTGTTAACTATCTTTTGGACTGTGTGGATAAATTATTCATCATTACATTGTCTTACTGTAGAGTCACTGGATTGCACTACCTCCAAAGATTATGCGTTACGTAAAAATGGTTGAAAGCCATTTCTCTCATCATTACAATGTCACATTAGTGAAAGAAGACAGTCAGCATTTCATGAACATTTTATTTCTTTACAGCCTCTAAGATTTCCCAGGAGAATCAGTCATATAATCAAACAAAAATGCTTGCTGTGATCAATTCTGCAACACTGCATTACATTCTCTGGGAAGTCGTTTATGAAAGAATTAACTGTGTTCATGTTATTCAGTGTCATCTACATACCTCAGTAAAACATATGATGACAGCAGGCATTGGTCATGGAAGTTTGAACTTTTTTTTAATGTGATTGTTTTCAATATTCAGTTTGATGAAATGAACATTTTGTGTATATCTAGTCATCTGAGAATGAAGTTGAAAATTGTAATTATGAAAATAGATAAATATTTCACCTGTATTTGGTGAATTTCAAAGTTTTGTTAATATCTGAGATTTGAATTTATTTAAATGTTCAAAAACTTTAAAAGAAAAATAGATTATGTATTAAAATACAAGTATGTGCATATATATGTGTTCATACCTGTGTACACACAAATAAAGCACATGCATATGAATGATGTATATACCTTGTGTTTATGTGTATATAGGTGTATATATATATGTTTATTCATTATTCATACATAAAATCACACAGCAATTTTGAGCCCTCTAGTGGTAAGAAACCTCTCGGTTAAGAAACCATTAATCAAATTCTAAATATATCCACTTAACAGACAAGTGTCTAAATTCTACAACACTATTATGCCTTCATATAAGTTCAGGATAGCTTCCTGCAGTTGGTGTGGATCTGTAGATACAAGTGTCAATAACAACACAGATCTGCAAATTAAGTTATTGTTTCCAGCGCAGTAACTTTTCTTCCCTTCCTCTGTTGAAAATAGAGCTATTCTGTATTCTTTTGACACATTGTTGATAATTTGTGATCTTTAAAAACCAACAATCTCTTCACACAAATACTGTCAAATAAATGAGAAATATTTTCTAACACAGCATCCTCATTCTCAGCCTCACATTATATACTTACACAAATAATTACAGGGGAAAGGAGAAGAAAAATCTGCATTTCAAATTGGGAGAGGTTTCATGATATATGACTTCAGCCATCTAAAAGCTAGGTTTTTAGGCTAAGCTGGTTGTTTGCACTCACCTTGCTGTCGCTGGAGGCAAACAGGTTGTTTTAGATTGAGTTGTCTTGTAAAGGTGTCTGGGAAAGAGCTGTGAGATAGGTGAAACATTTATGGATCCAAGTGTCTCTCCATTTCTCAAGGATACCTAGCTAACTAAATTGGAATTAATGTTTTCTTTATAAGATCGAAAAAAATATATAAAAAGCCTAGATTTGAACAAGATTAAATAACACAATAATAAATACTATTATTTAAAGCAATATTTATAACATGTAATGCATATCAGAATATAAGGTATAACAAAATACTACTGCATATGTATATTACAATAAGATATTAATAAATAAACAACATAAATGTCAGACAGGATAATTTACTACATAGGGAAATCATTCCACAAGATCACTGTACTTTGAAGAAATCCCTGAATAAGATTCAGAAGTGCTTTCTTTCTGGTACAGGATGGGTTTGATTGGTTCCAGAGATCACACTTGCTCTAATTTTACTCCAGATTTAAACATTTGGTCTGGACGACCATCTGTATCTGAGATCTTATGAATTCTGCAGGTGACCTATTTCTTCAAAGATTAATACTTTAATGGGAATCTTGTCCCTGCAGGAACAAGGGAGCTTACCAACTACCCAGTGTGGAAAGATTTCCCTTTTCACAGGGAAATCTCACCAGGAGAGCTATAGTATTCATTCCCTCCATCCAGAGTCCTATAATCATGAAACTTGTTGACCCTCAAGAATGGTGACAGTTTAACTGACACGGACTTTTAACAGAGATGAATATCAGTGTTTCTGGAATTATTTCATTAAAAACACAGTATATTAATTTATGAATGTAATTGGTTATGTGACAAGAGCTTAGGACAAGAAAATTACAGAGGTCATAAGCGGTTAATTCTCATTTTTAAAAATAAAGAAACAATTTTGCTTCTGGTGTATTAAAGAAATTTAAATATACTGTTATTCAGTTGCCTGCTTGTTTATTTTTCGTATCTATCAAAGTTCCATACATGCATGATAGAGAAATGAACTCCTAAAAAGGAAATTTTTCATTGGATGTATGCAAAATTTGAATTGGTTGGGGTTTTTTACAAATTTATCTAGGTAAATCATGCAAGAGGGAACATAATTTTTTATGAGTGGTAACGGTCCACCTCAGGCAAGTAGTGTGGCATAAGGTTGGAATATAGTTCCTGCATGCAGGAGTATGATCATCACAAAAACAGGAGTAGGGTTATGCCTTGTAGAAGAACACACTGGTGACTTCAAAACAGCGAAAAAAATTACAGAATCACAGAATGGGTAAGGTTGGAAGGGACCACAGTGTCATCTGGTCCTACCTCCCTGCTCAGCAGGTTCATCATAGAGCACATGGCACAGGAGTATGTCCAGACAATTCTTGAATACCTCCGGTGAGGGAGACTCTATAACCCCTCTGGGCAACCTGTTCTAGGACTCAGTCATCCACAGAGTGCAAAGTTCTTCTCATGTTCAGGTGGAACTTCCTGTACATCAGTTTCTGCCTATTGCCTCTTGTCCTATGGCTTGGCATTACCAAAAAGAGCCTTTATAGCATAATGCTAAACAGTACTATGTGACTTGAAATGTTGAGGGAAAAATGAATTTTACATTAAGGCGCTGAACTTTTCTTGTTTAGAAATCCATTTGCTAGTAGAAAATAAAGTCAAGAAAGTAATACAATTTATCGGTGTTATGCTTGGGATAAACAATCTTAAATTCATACTTCTCAAAATCGGATGTTATTGCTTAGTTAGGAAATCTTTATAACAACGGTATATGATATCTGGCTAAAAGTGTTCGTAGCCAAAATAATCTTAATTTTCTCTAAGAAGGCATAGCAATTGCTTTAGCATGGCTAGAATATAACAATAAGGAGGTTTTATGGGGTGCTTAAATTATCAGGAATCCTTGATTCAAATGGGTTATTGAATGGCAGCCCCACAAAAGAGGAAATTTCATTTAAAGACTGCTGCTGCAAAGTCATCAAATCAAGTTGTATTCCCCAAACCTTTGCAACTGACATCACTATCAACGTTCCTGCATCTTGCAAATATTGCCTCAGGTCTACAATACACCAAAATACTATCCATTGATTTGTCACAGGGAACAACAATCTCCCCGTGTGGACAATCACACTTCATGGGCCATCTGAAATAAAGTATTTTTAACTCCTTAAATAGCTAGCTTGAAAAACTGCCATCAAGTAACCATGGCTGAGAATATAAACAGTGTACACTAGAGAGAAAAAAGACAAAGTCTTTACAAAAGTGCAGTTTTTGCTGCCATCCTTTAATATGTACTACATTTTAAAGTTTCTTCATGTGTTTAAACGATATATTCAGGGCAACAGCTAAACAAAGCTTTCCATACAAGGTTGAATAATAAGGCTGGGAAAGGGCAGACTGTTGGACTTCCTCTGGCTCTCTGACTTAGGTAACAGCTTGAGTAATCTTCAAAAACATCCCTCTTCTTCTCCCTTTGTTTGGAAACAAATACAGGGCCCAGAATGCAACTGAACAGTAGACTGCCTCCGTCGCCTGATGTCATAACTATTGTCCAGTAAGACTAACAAGGTAACAGCAGTTTCATAGATTCTCTACAGCCTCTACTCTTAAATGGGGCCAAGACTTGATCTGTGAGGACTTGAACTGAAAGCATTTCAAAGAGATTGCCAATACATTTTTCTATTATAAGAACTTATATGATAATACGAGGAGTCATAAACAATATGAAACATCTCACTTCGTGCTCCAAAACAATTGTTGTCTAAGATTAGGAGAGGATTCCTTTGTGGACATTACCTTATTATAAACTAGCTATACCTCCCTTAAGAAACTGGTTCTTCGTTATCAGCACCTGGGTAATAGGTTTTTTGGACTGCTGTTCACTTCTGATGTTTCAGTTCTGACATACCACTAAGGACCAGGAGAGACCACCTAAGTTTCAAAAAGAAAAAAGAGGAAAAGGTTCCCAAATAAAAAGGTGTTTCTGCATTGCCACTGAATTCCTGTGTTGCGTCTATAGGTCTTCTTTGATATTTGAGAACTGAGTTGTCAGACTTTTTTTTAAGAAACCTTTTCTGTAGTTTTCTCATAGATTTGCAGAAGTAATTCTGTAACAAGAGGGAAATCTTATAAAAAGATACTGAAAAGCCTTATCACTAGAAAAACAGTGAACAACATTTTGTGTAAAATAATCATAGAATGTTTGGAAGGAGCGTTAAAGACCATCTAGTTCCAACCCTCTTGCTGTAGACAGGGACATCTTCCACTACACCAGGTTGCTCAGAGCTATGTCTAATCTGTCCTTAAACACTTCCAGGAATGGGGGATCCACAGCTTCCCTGGGTAACCTGTTGCAGTGCCTCATCATCCTCACAGCAAAAATTATTTTTCTTAATACCAAATCTAAACCTACTTTCTTTCACTTAGATGCCATTCCCCCTTGTCTTGTCACTACATGCTCTTGTAAAATGTCCTTCTCCATCTTTCTTGTAGGCTCCCTTCAGGTACTGGAAGGCCTCAATTAGGTCACCACAAAGCCTTCTCTTTTCCAGGCTGAAAAAAAAAAACCAATTCTCTCAGCCTTTCCTCATAGGAGAATAATTTATAATATCATCTTAGAATATATCTGCTTACCTTCTTATTATAAGTACAGAGGTTATTCCTAATGTAACAGATTCACTAACCATTCAATTTACATGTTTTAATATGCTTTATACACATAAAAAATAATAATTAGATTATCTAGCCTGACATCGCAGCTTATCAAATTTTGCACTTTATTTTATCAAGCTAAGACAAAAGCCCTCATAGATGTATCCTGAGTAAAAAGTTCAAAAGCACCCAGCTTCCTGAAAGAAAAATAATCAATTAAACTTGATATGACTGCATGAGCTATCTCCATGATTAGAAGAAAAGTGAAACTGCACACTGCTTTGTAGAGCAAACTGGGCAGAAATTTTTGTAAACTGAAATCAAGACCATAATGAGTTTCAGTTCTTTTTCACACTATGGTAACTGTGGTCTTTTCTCTAAACATCACCAATTCTGTCCTCTAGAGGAGAGGAAAAATCAAAAATCTGTAATCACAATATATTAATGCAGATATACATTAAGTGAAGCAAAACATTTTGACTTTACAGGCATTTATTTTAATGCCTAAATTATGAGATATTGTTATACACAATGTGCTGCTCTGAGATGCACATGTGAGATTGTGAAGAGCAATAAAGTCTACTGTAACTTTATGTTTCTCTACTGTCTTTTAAAAGCCCAAAAGCTTGAGATTACAGAGTCTTATCCTCAAAGGCCAAAAAGGACACCATAATTATTTAGTGGGACCCTCTATACTTTCCACTAGTAGAATGTCTCTCACAAGTTAAATGAAATTGTATCTAAT